GGTACCGGGGATTGAACTTGGGTCCTTGCACTTGCAAGGCAGGCCACAGAACTGCTGAGCTAAATCCCTGGTCCTACAAACTGCAGCTTTAAGGAATGAGATTAGTTCACATACAAGCAAAAAGAACAATATGAAGCAAATATTACAGATGTTGGTTTCTGTCACCACCAATCTCTAAGGATCCTTTTTTGTTGGAGACAAGGTCTTGCAAAGTTGTCCAGGTTGGTCTCAAACTTGCAACTCTCTGGCCTTGGTCTTCGGAATAGCTAGGATTAGGCTCTTCTAAGGATTCTTATAGCCAATGGCTTTCTGTTTACGTATCTATCACTCTACTAGATTGTGAAGAATCCTGACAGAAGTCTCACTTTGACCCAAATGTTTGACTCATACGGTGTTCAACAAATATTTGTCAAATGAATGAAAGTAAAGGTAAAGAAAAACAAACACATTGTACTTCATTGTAAATAAACTGGGTTAAGAAATGAGAAGGAAAACAGTTCTACCCATAAAGTTTAACCTCTCAGAAAGTCAACTAGATGATTAGAACAGAATAATGCAGTCACTTTTAGCTACTAAAAATGTGTTCAAAGTATCAGTCTTTAGTGCAGGGGTTGTGGTCAACTAACAATCTGCTAATTTCACCAGCAATCTCCTGCGTCTTTGGGTAAGTTCTTTTCATAGGTAATTTTATCTTGTTAAAGAGGACTATGAAGCCTAGATAGTGTATGAATAATGATGAATAGGCAAAGGAAGCACATATTTGGTTCTTACTATTCTTTTGCAACACTGCAGTTGAAAAGCAGGAAGGTAGGACAGTTTGGTTGACTGACTTCTCACTATGCTACTGTGTGAATACAGGTTACTATTCTTTGCTCAGATATCTAGGCAGTCTGCCAAGATCCAAGAAAGAATGTCTTTGCTCTAGGCAGGGCACTAATGACCTTTCTGCAGATGCAGGCTCTGTCTTGAGAATGTGCTGAGGTCTCAGTTGCAAAACTTGAATTTAACTATTTCTAGTGTTATTCCACAGAAACAATACATGTATGCTTTTCTTACTTTCCAGTTTATATATTTCTAATATATATATTTATATATATATATATATATATACACACAAATCTGTACAAATATATATACATATAAATACACAAATACACATATATATATATTTGTGGGTTTTTTTCGGGGGCAGGGTACCGGGGATCAAACTCAGGACCTTGCACTTGTGAGGCAGGTGGTGGCACCACTGAGCTAAATCCCAGCTCCAACATGTTTGAAATACGAAAGGCAAGTGGTGCCATTCAGATTCCTTTGGTTATTTCCTATGGACTTCTTATAGACACAAGGAAAGAATTTTCTCCTTTAGCTCCTTCTTTAAATTGGCTTAACAAAAGATGGCTCTTTGGTAAATCACTGATTATTCAAGCTCATTTGAAGAGGCAAGAAGATTTTGAGTCATGTGAAACAGCAAACAGAATTCTTCCTCATGGATCATCTCTGTGTTAGCTGGTGACCTGCCAGGAGGAAGCCTGGCTTCTGTGCAAAAACAAAATAAGAACCTGAGCCCTATATTTCTCTGTGACGTTGGGAAAAATCGATTAGCTTCATGCTACATTTTAAGATTAGATGAAACTGTTTCCAAGTAACCCTTCAATTTCAGTATTCTGAATTACAAGGAATAAAGCTATCAGGTAATTTACATGCTGGCAACATAACTGAGTTAATATTTGTAGTATGAGCTTACATATCAACATAGAACATCAACTAAAAGTAAAATCTTAGAATGACTTGACACATGATAAAATGGAGTATGACCTTGAGCAAATCACGTTCTCTCTGGGTCTCAATGAATTTAGGTTTCATCCAGTTCTGAAATTAAAAGTCTGAAGTTCTCTGACAAGTACCTCTGCCTTGTTAAGATTATTGAGAGAAACCACTGAAACCATAATTTAAACGATTATGTTATTTTGATAAAATAACTGGTAAAACAATTACAGGGAAGTAGTAGCTGTCCTCCTTTGTCCACTTATGACATTGATGGAGTTACACCCATGCTTTGAAAACATAACTTTTCAGGTTCTGGAAAACTTCCAATTCATTCAAACACTTCCTTATATTCTCCAGTCATTTTAATATTTTGAGAAAGGAGGAAAAATATTTCCAAATATAAATATAAGTCCTTAAGCAGTTTCTCAATATGACAGCAAATGTCACCTTCAAAGAGCTTGCAGATTATTCCTACGTCACAGTTTCTCCAAACCTCTTCAGCTGAGACAAAGTACGCAGCTCTAGAGATCGCTTCAATGACAAGATGGTAATACTGTTAAAATGAAAAGTAGTGCTTCTGAAATTCAAAACACGTAGAACAGTGAAGAACACCTGCACTAGTCATTTGGCTACTTATTCTACTGTGCCCTGGCATTACAAAAGATGATAAATAAAAAAGTTTTAAATACTATTTTGCTAAGTTAAGACATGGTGGTAAGACATCTCCTGAAAATGCAGATCGTAATCTGGAGCACCACGTGAGCACAACCTTAACAGTCGAGAGCCTTTTGCAGTAAAAAGGATTTGTGAAAAAAGCCCTTAAAATAGTACGGTTTAAAAGAAGGGTGGGGAAGGTTAGGACACAAATCTCCCTTCCTAGCAAACCTCACAGTCCTTACTTAGTTTGTCCTATTAAGAGACTTCGGAGAAAAGCAGGATTCGTATTTTGTCCCCCGTTATACAATAGGATTAAGATCGAGTTTTTTCAAGGGCACTGATTTTTCCAGAGGCCTACTACCCCCTCCCCCAGAGGAAAGCAAGTGCTTATTATTGCAACAGTCCCCAGCTGAGTGGGGGCTTTGCAAACGGCTCAAAGGTCACTGCTGCCTACTAAAAATCCTTCAAGTTCAAGAACGCCCATACCAACGCTGGAGGTGAGCAGGAGCGAGGGGCCCACACTCACCATGACTGGGAATTGCGCAGACAATTTCTGCACCTGCAGAAGAAGCCTTCAGAAACCAGGTCACCTCTAGCTCGGAACCGAGTCAAGGAGGGCGCTGGGTGCCAGTTAGAAGAGGCTCGGCTCCCGGTTGCGGTGCCCTCTGGGAAATGTAGTTTATACCGCGGGGCCCCGGTGCAGTCTCCATGCATTCTCTCAAGTATTGAACTACACTTCCCGAAAACCCAGGGTCTTCTCACGTCCTTCTTCCTGCGCTCTCCAACCATTGCAAAATAGTCCCCGAAGTTGCGTCTCTGTGATTGGACGACGACTGCGAGCGGATGGTTTGGACTCAGAGGAAAGGACTGCGTGATGGCGCACGACAATTGGCGGGAAGGGAGGCGTGTGTAACATGAGGGAGGAGAGACGAACCCCTAAATGATTTCATTTAATGCGCAACACAGACTTTTTCGTTCCCTGAGATAAACGTGGACGGTAAAGAGATCTTCCGCTGCGTAAAACCGGCTCGACCCGGAAACAAAATCTTTTAAAATTGTACGCGTTCCCGAGGGGCGGGGGAAATTGATGTGTCCGGAAGACAGTACAGCTTCTCAGGTTGCTAAGCGACGAGGCGTGAGCACCCGAGCGAACTGTGGCGGCGGCTCCGAAATCCTGAGCGAACTGTGGAGGCGGCTCCGAAACCCCGAAGACCTAGAGCGCACGACTTCCTTTGTAGCGCAGGGAATCCTCCTCCGATTAGTGTCAGCTGACGAGGAGAGGGTCTGCGGGCGCTCTTTTCTTGGTGACTCGCGGCGGTGCGTCTTCATTCCAGAGGCAGGTGAGCCCTGGCCAGAAAGCGAGGGATTTTCTTTTAACCTGAGGGTCCAGAATGTGATTGTGAGCCTTCTTGCATTACTTTTTACGGGTCCCTTCTCTTCACAGTATTGCGGGCGCGGGATTTTTGCCACGGTGTTCTAAAGGTGTGGTATCCTGGAGTTCTCGCCCGCTTTCCGCAGTAATTGTGGCTCTTCCCAAGTTAAATAAAAAATATTTATTGAGCATCTGCTTAGGGTTTGTGTGTGGGGGGGTGCTGCTCCATTCCCGGAGCTTGCAGTTCCTGAATCTAACTTTTCTCTGCCCTCCGCGAATGTTGCCATCCATTCTCTTTAGAAAACTGGATGTACTTTAAATCATCTGCACTCTTTAAAGTTATGCCAAACCTGTATTTCTAAGGAAAGAGTGGAAAGGAATGGGAAAAAATAGTTGTTTCAGGCTGAGTATCAGCTTGGAAAATAATGTAAGAACTTTTCATTTAAAATTAATGCATCCCAAGAGAATTGCTGTGTTTCTCTGAAAGCTTGTTTGATGTGGATATTTAAAGAAAGATGTGGTGCTTTGCAATCGCTATACGTCATGAAAATGAATGTCTATAGTAGATACCATTGGCACAACTTCTGGGTTTTGTCGTATCGCTGATAAATGAATGCCAAATTTTATTTTTTAGTTTTTCTTTATTTCATTTTTGGAAGATTTACTATTTTGGGAAAGAAATATAATGTCCTTCTTTTCTCTTTGATCTTTAAGTAGCATTTATCATGCCTGAATGATACCTCCTTAAATCACTTTATCACAGTTATCTCTCAGAAATACATTTTCTGGTTTTCTGCTCTTATTGCTCTTTTGCTCTGTCACAGTCCTTCCAAGTTCTATTTAAGTTAAGCTCTGATTTATTAATATTGGAATGCTTCTATTCTTCTGTCTGTACGCAGTCTATAAGTGAACTCATCCATGAGTTTTACCTCTTCAAAAGCTACTTCTTTGTCAAAAACTCCAAGTTTAACTGGCCGCGGCTGTGCAAGCCTGTAATCCCAGGACCTTGAGGGGCTGAGGCAGGAGAATCTTAAGCAAACTTAGCAAAAACCTTGTCTGAAAAAGAAAAAAAAAAAAAAAAAAAAAAAAAAGCTAAGGTGTAGCTCGGTATAAAGGCCCTGGGTTCAGTCTCCACTACCAGGAAAAAACAAAATGAACCCTCCCAAATTTGTTTCTAGTCCTGGTATGTCTACTTATCTCCACTTGATTTTTTTTAATAAGCATCATTTCCACTGTTTTACAGTATTTCCTACTGAACAGGTGTATATTAAAAGTATATTGTGTCACTGGTATAACACCTTTGTTATACTTTTATAGATTTTATACAGATAATACAAGTTGCCCTCACTTTCACTATTTTGGTTGTGGATAAAATTATATGATTTCATATTGTAGATTAGTGAAGAGATAAGACTGGTTAGACAGAGACCAATTTAATAAGTTGACCAGGGGAACTTAGGAGAAGAGTTTTTAGGTTCTGGCATTGTTAGGCGCTGGGAATTCAGAAATGAATATAAGTAATATGGTTGCTGCCCTTTTAGGAAACTGGCTATACCATGAAACAGATGTGTAAGCCCATAATGACAGTATGACGATCTGTTTGATAATAGAGTTGGTTACTCTGGGCTGCTAGGGCTTTAAAAAGGAGATGCTGCCTTAATGAAGACAAATGGATGTTTCTGACAGGCAGCTAAGGTAGGAGGTGGAACCACATTTGCAATGTTGCAAGTAGGGTTTGAATCGGCAGTAAGAAATCATTCATACATATTTTAATTTCCCGATTTTAAAAAAACAACTACGTCTCTAGATTCTAGAACTATATTGTTGAATACTGTAGTCATTAGTCATATGTGTCTGTTGAATTTTAAGTTAATTAAAATTTAAGACCCATTTCCCAATCATATAGTTACATTTCAGGTGCTTAATAATATATCTGACAGAATAAGGAGACATTGTCACTTAAAGTTCCATTTTATAGCACAGAATTCAGTGGAAGCAAGGCGTCATCACCCAGAACCAGAGCAGGTGTGGTATATCTACCTGCATGCTATTTCTCTTAACTTTGGGTTCTTGTGGATTGTATAACTACTGTACTACTGACTACACAAGAAGGGTCCTGTTAGAGGTAAGAAGAAAACCTAATTTTTTCTTAACCATTGTCTTTTTGTTCTAATAGAAGTTAAATATACAGTCTAACAGTACATGTTTCTGTTGAAAAGAGTTTCGTCACACTGCACTGTCTTGGATCTTGAGCCACATTTATCTTCAGCAAGACTGTGCCCTCAGGAGGGCTTGAGAAAGCGGTCATTTCTTTGGTGACTTTGAATAATGTCTGTCTGCTGTTTTATACTATTCTGGAAAGCCTGTGTTCCTGTCTCATTTTTAGTAGATGGAAGAATATATGCTATGTGTAGAGGTTTGAAATAGAATGGCAGGTTCAGATCCTACCAATCATGGGGAAGCCTCGTTGAGTTGTCTGTATATTTTAATATGTGCTACAGTTTTATATTAATGTGAGTTTTATGAATTGTCTTAATATTTCTATCTTAGTGGGTGCTGCCATAACAAAATACCAAAGACTGGATTGGTGAGACGATAAACACTTTTCATAGTTCTAGAGTTTAGGAAGTCTAAAATCAAAGTGCCAACAGATTTGGTTCTAGCTAAGGTCATTCTTCCTGATTTGCAAATGGCTGTCTTCTCTTTGTGTTCTTAATACATGAATTTTTAAGGGACAAAGACATTTAGTCCATAGTGCTATATTTTATTTGACATATTTCCTATGTGCTTATTATCTCATAATAAGTTCTTCCTCTTCAAAGTTTGGCTAGTTTTATTACATATTTTCAGTTAATATTAAACACTCCTTCTAAATCAAATTTCACAATAATTCTCACTACCAAGGAAAGAGAAAAAAGAGAAATGTCCCTGGAAAGGGGTGGAAAAGTGCTTTAATTGTGTGAGTGGATATTCATTTTATTATTTGTCCAACTTTACTACTCACCGTCCAGCTTAAGAAAGAGCATTACCAGTCCCTTCTTGAATATATTGTGCTGGCATACATACAATGTATACTCAATTTTGTGCATATATGTTTTGTATTATAAAAATAAACTAAATTGAATTATTCAGCAATAATTAAAGTCAGTTAATGTTTCCTCTTTTCCCCTAACTAGGTATTATGGATATTTATTTTATATAACTGCTTTACATGTAAAATACTGCTATATAAGCATAAACATGTTTTATTTTCCTCTAAATTTGTCAAAAACAGTTATAATTGTGTTCCTTATTTTTAAAAATTAAGACATACAAAAAGGAACCTCAGATGGATCAATTTATGGTTCATGAGATGTGGGGAAGAGTATAAAGAGCTAAATGTTGGCCAGTAACATGAAGTGGAGAGGAGGGTAGAGGGAAAAGAGAGCTGTTGAGTGTAAAGAACTAAAGTGAAGATTAAAAGTATCGAAGTGAGGGCCTTTGATTTAGCCCAGCGGCACCATGCCTCCCTTGGAAGTGCAAGGTCCTGAATTAGATCCCCGGTAATACAAAAAAAAAAAAAAAAAAAAAAAAAAAA